GTTAGTAGCAAATGGGTATATGATAGTGCTACACCTATACTACTAAACTAATTTACTTACTGGCCGGCCTAACCATGTAGTAGTTTAATGTAAAACGAACGGTATTAAAATCATGAGAAACCACTTATGATTTACTCATGTCGAGACTTTATTACTGACGCCAAGCTTTATTACTCCTCACATCACACAAACTGTCAAATCGACGATAAATTCAGAAAAATTTGCTTTACCGCTACCTTTATAGTTACCATCCTATATAATATACCAGTTTTTCAGCTATGGGAACATCACCACACACACTCTAATGGAACAAATTCTTCTGTTTTACACCATTACCTACGAAATGGGCAATTTTCTGAATGTACTACATTTATTGAACTACAACACAATAATATCACTACATATATAGACAGGCAAACTTCTGTTTTTACACATGCATGTACCTGCTAGCAGGTGATAATGGTAAAAAAATAGTAACTGAATATTTCCAAAAAAAACATCAAAACGACGTTTAAAGACTTAAAGAAAATCTACCTATAAAATCAAAATTTAATGCGCAAAGATAAATATAAACGTTTTATAATACAGTGGATATCATTTATAACCACTTCGGATATAGCGACTTTGGATGTAACGAATGACTGTTAATGAATCAATTGGAACAAATCCCTAGTAATCCCATGCGGGTATAGCGACCGGAGTCGGCTGCCAAAAGGCACAAAGCTTTTTTATCTTTTGTTTACATCTACACAGATGGTCTGCAAGTGACCATTACCATTTGTTTATAGATATTAGTTGTAAGCGTGTACGTTACACTGGTTCAGTTACAAAGCAATATTGGGATCCATCAAATGGGAGGAGCCTAAAAACATGGCGCCGATTAGGGAAAATTTATCGTAGTTCCTATAGTGTACCGTGCAATTTCCAAGTTTTTAAATTATGATAAAATGATAAGTATTGACACAATATGTGATTGAGCTGACACAAAGCCTCGGAAAGGAAATTTCGTTGGAGGTGAACGTGTTTTTAATGCCAATCACATTATAAAATTCGGAAATAACAAATCCGGAAGCTAGCCTTCAAATTCCGTCAAGTTTACTGCCTACTTTTTACAAACTTCGGATTTAAAAAGTGATTCACGTTATATAATTGGTGAGGTGATTCTGGGTGATTTAAGCAATATCATATCAATGACTTGCACGTGCAAAGCCGATTTAAGAGAACGTTGCAAACACATTATTGCAACTTTGTTGTATTGCAGCAGGTAGGTTCTTAACCTCAAAATACTTATATCGTATCATTAGAATTGTGTTAAATCAATTACACAGGAATAAATAATTTCTCACTTTATAATTTTAGTATGATTCTAGTTTTAAATATTAAGGTTATGGCTGATGGTAAATACTTGCTGAAATATAATCATGTGCATTAAAATGACGTGAACAAATTTTTATTCCGGAATTCACTTCTTTGATACCTACTGCTTTCATCCAAGCTTCTATTAGTTTACTTTTTTCTCTAATTTTCCGAATATATTTTTTACATATATAAAACGGTTAGTTTTTATTGGAAAGTAGTTAATGTAGGTGAAGAGTGAAGATCTATGTCTGAAGTGCTATTGCAGCTTTTCACTGAACATATTAACTTTTTATTTGATTTAACTTTAGAAGAAAACTTCGTCGACTCCATCATCAAAACAATTTTTACTTTTTTAACGTGTTTTATTATTTTAATAAACAATTTTACAATATGCGTGCACAGTTCCTATGTAAATTTTTCCCTCATTCGAGTTATAAATTTTGCCACCAGATGGTGTATGCCCATTTGACGAATTCCAATATTGAGCAGCAACTGTGTTTAGAACACTTTTGAATAAGTATGACTCCTAGATGCACATTTACTGTTAAAAAAAGGAGGAATCGTTTCAAAATTGAAAAATGGTGAAAACTATAGGTACATACGCGTCTCTATCTTTTTACTTTGGCCTGTAACGACTTCCGGATATAAGGACGACATTACAGTGGTCCCGTCGTCGTCGTTATACCCGAAATCTACTGTATAAGTATATATACAGGGTGAAATAATTAGCAAGCCTGTAGGAGGTGATAGGACACAATAAAATGAAGTAAATGTTTAGGGGTTCGAAAGTCCACCGTTTTCGAGAAAAACGTATTTGAAAGTACAATCAAATACAGCTACAGCATCAGTGTTGTACGAGTACCATTTCTTTTGTATTCTGCGTTCTTGATACCATGTCGAGGTGTACTTTATGTAGTACTGCATACTATTAGCGATGAATAAAGTAGTTATTAAATTAATTGTTATTGCAATGGCCGTTTAAAGATTATTATGTGTAGTAGCGTAGCAGTAAACTGTTGAAAGTTACTTTATGTTGTTGTTCCACAACCGTCACCGTTTACGTTTTTCATCGGTGTAGTTGTTTAAATGTTATCTCCATACGTTGCCAATTCACAGCTTCGGATTACAACTTCGTCTGATTTTCTTACAAATGTTTTTGTACGAAGATTTAAGCTAACAATGAGCACTAATTAAGTAAAAGTGACATAACATATTCCCTTTAACGATGGTCTTTATTCTGTGTAACTATCGGGTTGTTCGGAAAGTCAGTTCGTTTTTTCCCGACAGAGGATTTAATTGTATTCTTTTGCACCCAACTTCATATTTAAGCCGTATAATTTTTATATGCTTTGAGAGCTCATATAGCAAGGCTTGTGTGTGAAAAATTCCAATTAATTCTACGCAGTAGTTTTTGGTTGGTGCCCTTTTAAATATGGAGAGCGATAAGCAGCATTTTCGACATATCTTACTGTTTTACTACAGAAAGGGTAAAAATGCTGTTCAAGCCAGAAAGAAATTGACTGATGTGTATGGAGAAGGTGTGTTGACAGTACGCCAGTGCCAGAACTGGTTCGCTAAATTTCGATCCGGCAATTTTGATGTCGAAGATGCACCACGTTCGGGAAGGCCGGTTGAAGCTGATAAAGACGCGATAAAGGCATTAGTTGATGTGAACCGGCGAATAACAACACGTGAGATCGGATTGAGGTTAAATTTATCAAATTCAACAGTTTATGACCACTTGAAAGGCCTGGGATTATCCTCGAAGCTCGATGTATGGGTTCCCCATGTTCTCACAGAGAGAAATCTGTGTCGCCGCATTGACGTCTGCGATTCGCTTCTCAAACGTCACGAAAATGATCCGTTTTTGAAGCGCATCATCACTGGGGACGAAAAATGGGTTGTATACAACAACGTCAAACGCAAGAGGTCATGGAGCAAAAAAGATGAACCGGCTCAAACCATTTCCAAAGCCGATATTCACCAAAAAAAGGTGATGCTGTCTGTTTGGTGGGATTTTAAAGGAATCGTTTTTTTTTAGCTTTTACCGGATAACACAACGATTAATTCGGAAGTCTACTGTCATCAGCTGGACAAACTGAATGATGCACTTCAACAGAAAAGGTCAGAACTAATCAACAGGAAAGGTGTAGTGTTTCACCAAGACAACGCGAGACCTCACACAAGTTTGGTCACTCGCCAAAAGCTTTTACAGCTTGAATGGGATACAATGCTACACCCACCATATTCTCCAGACCTGGCACCATCGGATTATTATTTGTTCCGGTCACTCCAAAATTTTTTAGACGGTAAAACCTTCACCTCAAATGAGGAGGTCAAAAACCTCCTCGATCAGTTTTTTGCCAGCAAAGACCAAAAATTTTATGAGCGTGGAATTATGCTACTACCAGAAAGATGGCAAAAGGTGTTGGACCAGAACGATCAATATATAATTTAATAAAGTATTTGTTTATTATACGAAAACTGTCTTTCATTTTCACAAAAAAAAACGAAATGACTTTCCGAACAACCCTATATTTTCATCAGAATGTTATTGTATTCTCGGCATCTCGACTGTATGTGTGATATTTTCAAACTAGTCCGATTTACCCATGGTTAAAAAATCGTGAGTTTTAGATTAGGAAGAAGAGGTAAGAAACCATGCGTTTTTATTATGGCAGTGAAAGTCTTGATGTTTCCTTTTCCATTTACAAGTCCATAAAACTCTGGGAAAATAACAGTGGCAAACATCCGAAAAACCTTTCTTTAATCCAACGCCGAAATGTTTATTAAATTAGCATTCGTAGATTTATCCACGATTGAATATGTAAGTTTATAAGTGTGAACTTACGACCTGATTTTTTAAAAGAAGATTTTGCAACATACTTGTTTTATACTGTCCAGTCCTTTCAAAGCTGAAGCTTGTGACAACAAAATTTACGGAATGAGGTCTCAGTTCACTACAAGTACCGTTTTCAAATGTTTTCTTTTGTATCTATGCATATTTACCAATTCATCTTAATTTCTAAGGAAAATAATCTAGTAAGAAGTTGAAATTCAATGAAGTTGCTCAGTTTTGATTGTATATTGAGTAACATTCTATTCTCAAATATATCAATACATTCTAAGGAAGAAAGCTATAAGTACCTTTCGCCTTGAAACAGTAGGGAAGACTTTGATGGCTTTTTACCATTATTTACGACAATAACTGACTACTTTATTGAAATTAAAAAATAATGAAAATACATGGTCATAAAAATGTAATAAAAATGTCATGCTGTCGCAATGTATGACTACTTTTCTGGTAAAAAAACACTAAAATAGGGATTGCCTACACAAAATTATGACGTAAACGAAGATTTTATACATACAGGTACACAGTTGTACTACACGCAGTTGATCAAATAACTACACATAGAAGAAATAGAGAGAGAGACGTTGTAGATAAATTAAATTCCAACAAATAATCAAATAATTTCGAAATTATCAAACTGAACTGACATTTCCAAATTCTTCATTAGCATAATTGAAAAAATTCTAAATTCTTCCTTTCAACCAATAAAGTAATTACAAAGATAACTACAACAATTGGCACAGAATAAAACAAATATAAAATGTGTTAACTAAATAAAATTTTTTACCTTTTCAGTTTTGTGTGACTCCGTCATACACACATGTGGACTAGTCCGTTTATGATTTTGAAGCATCTAAGCATGCATCTGAAAAAAAATAAAAAATATTACCACTTTTAGTAATTCATTGTCAACATAAATAAAGATTAATTTTAATATACGTGCTTAAGGTCACAAGTGATCATATGCTCACTATTCGTTAGAAAAACAAATTTTAGACATATTGTTATTATTTAGCAGAAATCTACAAACAAATTAGTGGATTTATTCCCAAATTAAATGATTTGGCAGGACGATTACTGATGTTGGAAATCTTTAAATATTATATAATAATTATATCTAACTGTAAATATTTTAGGTGAGAAAACCGTTGACCTGAAAAATAATTCGAATTGTATGCCAGGAATAATCACCAAAAATTTTAAATCGCTCTTTTCCGTAGGTGTCGAACCGGAACGTAAATTAACAACAGCAACAACAAAAACAACGAACGCCTACAAACAATGTGACCCATTGGTTGAGAATTGTCTAATTAGTCTTTTATTACTTTAACTACCGTTCATACATTTTCTATGTTCTAGTCTAAATGCCAAAGATTTAAGGACATTATCCAAACAATTATATTCAAATAGCCACCTTAAATTATAGTGAGTCCAAACAGGGCCGCATTATTTCGACAGAAAATTAAAATGTATTGCAAAGTACTACAACTGGATTCGGATACATACAAAATGTATCAAAAAAGCAATCTGTTCATAAACGGTTAAGGATATGGGATGTTCTAGTTTTAGAGAAATGCGAAGATTAGCTCAGGATAAGAAAGAGCGTGTGTGACAACCTTATGATGATGAGTGTAATATAGTATCTCACCCATACTACACGGGAACAGATTAGTGCGGGAATAACGAACTGTCCCTGTGGATATAGACAATCCGAGTACTGTATCCGGGTACCGAAATATCCGGATACTACCTACCTTCGTTGAATACCGTATTAATATTATGAAAAAATGAAGTACCATTATTAAAAAAAAAACACTCTCCATCCACCCAATGTAAAAGACTTAACCTAATGAAGTTTTTGTATAAACGTGCGATAAATTAAACGATTTTGTTAACACGTTGTGTCGTGTCGTGTCGACTCGACCATCTGTTTACTTTAACTTCTATTGGATTACAATCAACCATTGCACTGGTGAGTAACTACTGCAATGAGTTCGTTCATTAAATGTTTGCAATGCAGATCTAGAAGATGATAAGTCGACAATGTTATTTTTGTCGATTGATTTCAAACACGATCGCACAACTTGATCACGAACCACGTCGATGGCATTTGAGCGAACGAACTATGATACAGAGGTTGTTGAGATGTTTTACAGGATGTACTTTACTATAATATCAAACTGCTTAGACGGGGCCGAAGTATTTTTAATTTTGATACATAAAAAATTGTTGAGTTTTCATTAAAATTGGACGCAAATTGAAAAAGATTTTGTCTCGTTTTCATTTTGGGGAAAAACTCCTTTTGCAAGACACTCTTAGAAAAGAAACAAACATTTTAGAATACATATAGGACAATTATTACCAATACTAATAAAATCAGTCTATTCTACTTGAAATATTTTAGCATTTTATCAAGCCAGAAATTTTTACTTTAAAAGCATCCTATTGAATCTCTACGTAGATGTTTGATCCATAACTTTTTAATAACTACTTTAATTCGACACAGACTTGGACATACACCTTTTAGAGGCCCCATAAAAAAGAAGCAAAGCAATATCGATTCAATCTTGAAAGAAAATAACAATCAAGTTTTTGTAAGTAGGATTGAAAAGTAGTTATGTTAGGATCTCCATTACGTATAATTGACAATGAAAGGTAAATATGGATATAAAATCAATAAAAACGTATAAACATTATATTACTGTTGCAAATTTAATTATATGCAAACAAATAATAACTTACTAATTAATAAAAAGACACACCTAACAAAATGTAGCAAAAAAACCGATCACTTTTTATCGTTTTTCGTATACTTATACAGACTTTTGCGATGAGAGAAGTACGTTACCAATAAGTTATTTACTAAAATTGTAGATTAGTAAGATTGAACACATACCGAGGAAAAGGACGATGCCTCAAAGTTGCAATTGTTTAGGGGCTGAAAACTGTAGATCTGTATTTTTAATTGTCCTTGACCTTCGACTTTAAACATTTTGTTCACTATTAAAATCCCATTGTACCCTCAGGGCAGAATGACTAAGGCATGTATAAATATGAACGTATTTATTTGCGCAATTAAAATTGAACTAATGAAACTTTTCCACTTCAAATTTGGTGTATTTAAGTATTGAGAGTAAAAGTTATATTGCAAAATCTGTGTGGCTTAAAATTAAGAAAGGATTTAGCGTAATAATAAATAAAGTGCATGGATTTTACTGAAATACAGTTTAGTAATAAAAACAAGAATCAGGAAACATCTTTAAAAAAACTCAATTTTAATAGTTGTGGAAAATTCGAGTCATTCTTGAATAAACTCATCACATGGTCTGTCTACTCTGGCTCTCTTCGACACGACCTCTGATCTACTTGCCACTTGCCACCACTGCTCACCATTCACCACGTCTAATATATCAAAGACCCTAACCCAAACGCTGCGCCGCCNCATGACACGAGTCACCGAAATTCGTACCTTAATAAATTCCTTCAGAATTTCAGATTCTTATTTAGACCTATTTATTTTATCAGTAAATCGAATTCGAATAAAATCCAACAACTTTACCCCTTTTTCTGATTACTCATTTACTGCTTCTAATTACGTTGTCATCGAAATTCACCAACAACGACCGACACTTATGAAGACGACAGTCGATAATTGGTGTTACGTTTTGATGAAACTGATCTTATCATCGTGTTGCTGTTGTGTTACATGTGTATAGGTTTACGTACGTATGAAGCTATACACGCACCTAAAGAGGTTATGTCTATTCTGTGTAATCAATGCGGCCGTTTTCGTAAACTAATGCAATCATCAGCGCGACCAGCGTGGAGCATCGTCGCCCAGTCATTATGGGTATCGGCTGGTTTTATTGCCATGCCGAACAAACGCCATCAATTTCATCGCGTTGAATGGTCGGAAATCAACGAAACGTTCTACATTTTCCACGTACACCTAAAATAGCAGACGCATTCGGGACACGAAATGGAATAAACGGACGCAAAGAAAACGCCTACGTTTCACATACCTGTAAGCTTCCACAACACAATTAATTCGGAACGGCTCCAGCGAAAACCCACATACACAAAATTAAACAGGAAAAAGACAAATAAAATATCGTACGGTGAAATTCAGTCGAGTTCTCACGGTAGATTGTTTTAGGACTGACAGAAATAACTATCAACATCTACTATACAACAGTTCATTATCGGTATACATACATTTAAGGATGTTTGGGAGGTACGTCAAAATGCTACGAGACAAATAAAAATTTGGAAGAACGTTCCTCATTCAATTCTAAAACTTGTGTAAAAATTACAAATCGATTCACTAAACCGATAAAATCTTTAAAAATAAATAAATCAAAACTGCTTCGACAATTACTCTACGAAATTTAATATCAATTGTAAATTAAGGATGTTTGACGAGACAAATCAAAATTTGGAAGAACGTTCCTCATTCAATTCTAAAACTCCTGTAAAAATTACAAATCGATTTACTAAACCGTTAAAAAGTTATTGAAATTTTAAAAAATTGTAATTTTACACGTCATTTTATGGAGATTCGTTAACCGAACAGATTAAATTTATTTTTATTAACAGAAAAAAA